ATTATCAGTAAACATAGGAGGCGAGGTACGTAAAATTCTACACCTGTTCCAGTGCCTCAGCGTTTACCTGAAGAGTGGAACCGGCTGGAGAGCGAGCAACTAGGCTTTTGGTTTGAGACACGTTTATATGCATGACAACAATGTCACACTACACTGCGAGCCTTTGCAGAGAGTGCTTGAGATCAGTTTCAAAAGATGCCAAAAACGAGATACGAGATCTGCACACAGCAACCCTCTCTTCTCTATACTTACGCTGACACACTCATCGCCCTTGCTGTGCGTGACTGTTCTATTGATATACACCACAAACAGGGCTGGGGGACCAGTGTCAACGTTGAAAGGCGTCGACTTAACGCCACTAACTCTGATGCAGCACCTGCTATCAGAGTACAATGATTGGATGGCCCTTAGCGGCTGGCTGTCAATCCCTATGCACGAAGGCATGTCCACAGACCGTTGCGTGCGATCCGGTCATACGCTTTCTCTAGGTCCACAAAACACATGTACACCGGCTGGGCGTACTCTCACGATTTCTCAACAATCTGGCGCAGGGCAAATATATACGGTCAGATGTGCTTCGACGGGCAGAAGCCACAGTTATTCCGCAAATGTATGAGTCATTTTCACTGTGGAAAACTATGAGAATCTGATACTGCGACATCACATATGATCAGTCGGCTGAAAGGAGTGCTCAAACAATGCTAGACATTCGATAGAAGTGAGCACCATTTGCGTCTTTGGATTGTCATCAGACCTCGAATAAAACTGGCTTGAAATTGCGCATCATGTTTTGCATAGAAGAAGAAATGTGACAAAGACAGTGTTCTGTACAGAGAGATGCTCTTTGGAACTCATCTATTCGTTTATCTTTTCTTCCTAATGTTTTATCCGACATTTATCCATGGTCACGCCAGTTGAATCTACCACCATTAGCCCGATGGCGATCTTGCGCCGCCTGTTTCAGTAGGACATGTCTAACCATCAGGTGGCATTGGCATATTGTCATTAAGGTAATTCATTACCGTAATTATTTAAATATTTTAGGTTGGGAATTAATGAGTTCTAAACATTAAAATGAAATTTGACAACGTGCCTGTCAACTTGCTCTTAGTCGCCTCTACTTGCATTCAACTCAACCTTCGACGTTCTTAGATGAAGAAAGATGCACAGAAACACGTCTGTGATATTAAGTGCAACAATTCATTCTTAAGATGAAAAAATAAATTAATATGCGATGTCCATGTTGTCAATCGAGAGGTTATAAATCCCAGAGGCACTTGATTTTAGTGCTAGCAACATAACATTTGGCATCTGTTGATAAACAAACAACACAGTGATAAGCAATAGAGTTAAAATTTGTTAAAGTGCCTCAAATAGCAAAAGGGCCTGTCCGGGATTTGAACCCGGGACCTCTCGCACCCTAAGCGAGAATCATACCCCTAGACCAACAGGCCATTACAAACTAATTTTGACATTTGGTATATAATTACAAATTTTTTTCCCAGTTTCAAACTGTGTGTATATCGCGTAAGAATCAATTCGCTGAAATTACTGATATCAATGTCCATTTCTTATTTGCAAAGATACCTCGTCCATAAAGAATCTTTACGGTAGTTTTCATCTGCATATACTTCCTCGTGCGATGTAAATCGAGATCTAGATGCCATTACGATGAGACTCTCTTCTGCGTTTCTGCAACCAAGCGGATTTCGTTCAAAACAATACCTATGCACTTACACACAATTCGCTGTTTATCATTCACTACGCAGAAACAGTCTCTTTCAAAACGCCTAGAACCGTCAGGTGGCCAGAGAATCTTCAGGAATTGGACGGTTCGTTCCTAGTCGTGGCCTGGTTAACCAACCGGATATCAGGCGCAGGTCGTTCCTTTCTAGCAGTGACTAGTCGGTCAATCATATTGTGGGCAAGGCGACTCCTTCCTCATCACGTGCAGCATGTTAATCAGCCATGACAGTTGCGGCAGTTCATTCTGGTCGCGTGGGGACAGTTTAAGCACTTCCTGGTTG